CATATATAACTAGATGAGATACTCGCCCTTAACTATGTCATAAAATATTAATGCTATCGTAATATAATATATTTTTAAATACATAATGTATAAACTACATATATATATATATATATATATATATATATATATATATATATATATATTATTATTACGTAAATATACAATATAAAGAAAAACATGAATAAATGATCAATATGAGAATACTTGAAATTCAGATCTTGTTTTATTATGTAATATTTATCAACTCTATCGTTCACATGAGAGTTGCATTTCTAGTTAGAATTACAAAATAGAATATTTTCATCAAAATATAATTCTAGAATTATAGCTGGAAATGCTGACAGATAAATGCTTTGACGGATAAATTGTTTCACAAAGTTAACATTAATAAATAATTCCCAATGAAAGTTAAGATGGTATCTAAGATGATAACACTATTTTCCACATCAGAAAATAAAACAAGAAAAATTCGCCATAAAAGAATTAAATTTAAGTTACATAAATGAAAAAAAGGAAAAGCAGTGCAATTTATCTATCGATCGATCGATCGTCACATTCTCGTACGAAACAACGATTTGTGAAAGGAAAGATATAACGGAAGATCGATAATATTTATTGAAAATCGCGCGAATAAGGAGGTAGGCCCCCGTAACGAGTATTTACGGTGATAGCAACGAGTTGGATACTTGTGCACCGTATTAATCGTTAAAAATTGCCGTTCTATCTCGCGGCAAGATCAAAATGGTAGTGGCGCATGCGACCGTATTAACATACGGCATTAGGTATTCCGCATGCGAAGCAACCGGCGAGCTTTGCTTGGATTTTCTGCGGCAATTACACGCGCCTAATGGCCACCCTTTGCGAATAGATCGACGCACCGCGTGCGCGAAACTATGCTTTGAATTAACGCTATTCAAAGATAAGAGGTTATACGCAGATTAACGAATGGTGTTTATGATATATATATATATATATATATTTTTAAATTTTAAATTTTTAATATGCCAAAATAATATATATATATATATTGAAATAATTTAAAAATATATATATTTTTTTTATTTATTTGATTTTCTTATAATTTTCTTATTAATTCGTAAGTATAAATATATTTAAAAATAAAAATTTTTGAGAATTAATAAACGTATTATTATTATTTTGCGGATATTAATAGTATTTTTTATTTATTTCGATAGATTTTTGGAAAAAGAATTTTTTTTAGGTAAGAGTTTTTCCCAAACTTTTAGAAACTTATTTTTGAAAATAATAATTTTTATGATTCATTATTATTATAAAAAAAGTTAATATAGTGTTTTTTTAATTTCTTATATCAATTTAATTAATACAAATTGATATAAATCTTTATATAAATCTGGAAGTTGAGGAAATTAAACAAAAATATCAATTCTTATACAATCTTAAAAAATTGATTTTGAATTGTTCATTTAACAATTTTCGATGAATAAAATTCCTCAAACGTATATTTAAAACAAATAAACTTACGATTTATCAATAAGATAGGACTTTTAGAATTTTTATTCTCAAATAATGGAACTTTAATCTATTTTTTAAATATCTACTTCGATTTTATAAAACTGATTCAAAACCGACAATGTAAATAAAAAAATAGAATAAAAAAATAGAATAAAAAAATAGAATAAAATAGAGTATCAAAAATATTTTTTTTTTCATGACAATAAAAAATAAATGAAAAAAACTTAGAAAGTTTTTCGTCTTTAAAAGTTTTATTGTTGAATTAAATATATTTTCATTTATTAAAAATTTCCTTTTTATTTGTAAAAAATATTAATCGAAAGGTTTTTTGAAAGAATTACAATACATATCTTTTTCGTGAAATTATCACAATTAAAATCATATAAATTTTATTATGTATAATTATGAAATCTTATTTTTTTTGAAATATTTATTAATACATATATTATAATTTATTTTAAATACAAATAACACAGAAAAATATTCAATTTTTCTTCTTTTTTTTAATTTTTATATTAATATCTAAATATCCAAATATCGTTTATCTTAGCATAGAATTAAAATCTTTTTATTTTTTCTTCCAAAAATGTTTAATTTTTAATAAATTTATATGATTCTTATTTACCATATTTGTTATCGATTTATATTCCCAATTTAAAATTTTGTTTTGTAAAACGGAAAATTATAGAAATTAGAAATTGAATAATATCGAAAATTTTAGATAAGGATTAAATTCGTACGAACAATATTAATATCAAAATAATAATTATCCATTTTACTTCATTTTTCTTCTACCTGAATTTCAATTTAATTTTATTTTCAATTCAATTTTATAATGTTTCGATTAGATGTTTTTGGAAAAATTTCCTCAAATTGTGATTAAGAATGAAAATTTTAAATATTTTATTTATTATGTTTCCTATATTTTATTATACTTTCTTTAAAATCCTGTAAAAATATTCTTTAAAATTTACATATATAATAGTAGTAATTAATAATAATTTTAAGTAATTAATTTTTTAATTTGTGATTTCTTTTTTTTCTTCTTTGTTACAGAAATTATCGAATATTGGAAAGTATAGAAAATAAAACTTAATTTTTTGAAATTTTTTCATAATTTCCAAAGATATTCAGAAATTTTTGCTTTTCCAATTATCTCGCATAGGAAAAAAGAAAATTTTTCACATTACATATTCGTGTAATCATCAAAACAGATGCTAGATCACAGCTGCATCGATAATTTGCTATTCAATTTACGATACTATTAAGATACGACTGTATAGAATTAGTTCCGTCGTTGCTCTCATTGATGACCGTGCGAAAGTATAGCCGATCGCAAAAGGACACACGAGGAGTCGACATGTTGTAGATTTTCATGGTGATTGAAGACGAGGAAATCGTATTACCAGTCTCGATCGAATCACGCTTGCGTGAACGTCAACTTCCTTCAATTTGATTCGACATAGTCCGCCACGTAATAATAATCACATTTCATTTACAACACACTAACTTAAATAATCAGAATTATATGAGATACATGCATGCTCGTGAAAATATGCCATTAAACTGTAATTCTTGTCCTATGCATGGATGCGAGATTATATGATTTTTTTAAAGCATAAATGTGAAACGAACGAAAAAATTTATAACATCAATTTATTATCATAATATGAAATCCTATATATATGAAAACAATAGAATTTAATTCATATTATTTAAATAAATATGTTTTTCTTTTTCATTTTTTATATATATGTATATTTAGATACATATATAATAAATCGAAACATATTATTATATTATTATTATTTTATTCACTATGCACAAAACATATATATATATAAATTTACTAAATATCATAAAAAAATAAAAAAAATAATGAATATATTTATATAATATATATAAATAATATAAATAATATATATTTATGTAAATAAAAATTTTCATTTCAGAAAATCCTTCACAAAAAAATTGTAAAAAAATGTATTATTTTTTCAAATAGAAATAAAATTTTCTAATTAAATATTTTCTTCTTTATTTGAAGTTATTAAATATATTAAAAATATATAAGAATTAAATTAAAAACAAATTTAAATTATTTAATATACACACTATATTACCATTCCTATATTATTTACATTTAAACATACAATTACGAAAGGTTATAAACAAATTTATTCAGGAAGAAAAATCGTAGATTGTAATTAATAATCATAAATATTGATGTATCGATAAAGTATTAATTGATATATACGTAATAACAACTAATAATTAGCTAATATAATAATAGCTAAAGGCAAATTTAACATCAAAATCAGTAATGAAACATTTACTTAATTCAATTCAATTTTCCAGAAGGCAAACATTATTTTGAAATAGTCTTAATTTCACATTATAATTAAAAAAAAATGATGAAACCTTGATTTATTATACACAAACATTTAATTTGCTTTAACAAATTAATTCTTATTTAGTGCTCTAAATATTGCTTAAATAATAAGATACATATCATATGATTTTATGACATGATTAAATGAATATGAGGTATAATATAATATATTACTATATATATACTATATATATATTAGTATATCATATATTACAGTACATTTTATTTCATTATTATAATTTCATAAATTTTAAAAAGAATTCAAAAATTATTAAATATTCAATTACTTCTATAATATTTTTATACTATACTATAAATTATTATAAATTAAATTTCCTTCTTCCGTAATCATTTAAACAACAAATACTCAAATAATCATTAAATTTTTTAAAACTTAAAAGAATGTTAATATAATCAAAATTATATTAACATTAACAATTATTAACAATAATCAAATATTTTTAGTTTAAATGAAAACAAATTTTTACCGTATTCAAAATATTTTTCAAAATCTAACATGCTAAGAATCTAATTTGATTTATTAAAAATTATATCTATAATAATATCTAATATAATTTTATTATAAGATAATAATTATATCCGATTATTTAATCTGATCGAATATATTAAACAAAAACTTGAAAACAAATTAAATTCATTAAATAAAAATTAAAGGAAATGCGTAATGGAAATATGAAATTACTCAAACTATAAAATTATTAGCATTATTGAATAAAACAAATATCACAACCATACTATAATGCGTATAATTATGCGTACAATTGCTAATTATTCATGAAACATATTCATAAAACTGAATAGAATACCTGTCTATTGTGTTTGTGCGTTATCTTAAAAGCTATCTAATGGAACAATTTCCATAGATTGCGATCAAATAGTGGTAGATCATCACGCGATTAGAGGTGGGCTCGCACAATTTCCCGTACGTTATCCCGGCACTAGCTTGAACACGTTTTTGCAAATGCAAAACGAGACGTACAACTATAATACGGACGATGAGGTGCAGCGAAAGTAACTGAGCTATTATGCCGCGGAGTATATAAGGCTCAGTCTAGAAAACGAAGCGGTTCAGTTAGTGGTTATACGCCACATCAAAACATACGCGAACTCAACGATGGATATCAAGGTAAGCGACTTTAGTTTCCGCGAGAATCACTTAAGAGAAATGTTTGTATCGTGTTTGTTTGAGTAGACGAATTTTACAAGTGTTAAAACTGGTTTCGTTGAAGTTGAGTATCATTACTGTTTCAGAATTATTTTAAATAAAATAAGATTGATTTTTTCTAAAGTAATCAGTGATTTAAATTTAAAGTGTTAATTCTGAATCTTTTGACAGGCAACTTAATTATTTTAAAAAGCTACGATATATATATATATTGAATTATGCAATTGTATAACAAGAAAGAAGATTTTTCAAGGTCAGGAAAGAAATTATTAATTCATTTTATTTATTATTATTAATTTAATTTATTTAAAATTCAAATATCAGAATGAAAAAAAATTTTAATTATCATTCACTGATATATGAGATATATTTATAAAAATTTTTCAAATTCACTAACGAAAAAACTAATCTAACCATAATAATATATTACACAAGTTTAAAATATCACAGACCATTTCCCCTATAAATATTCACGAAAGCAATTTCACAAATAAACAATCGTATGTAACTACATCATTCGATCGAATAAGTTTAATCAATCTCAACTTTCACCTCGCAGCTCGCCATCGTCTTAGTGGCATTAGCCACGCAAGTGAGTTGCACCGAGAAGAGTAAAGCAGCGGAAGAGAGTGTATCGCCAAAGGACTCTGTATCCGAGTCAACGGAGAAGAAGACGGAGAAACGAGGATTGCACGGTAGCTACGGTGATCTGGGTGGTGGTGGTGGTGGCGGCGGCGGCGACCTGGGAGGAGGCGGTGGCTACGAACATCACGAGGAAGTGAAGGCCGTGACCGTGGTGAAAAAAGTACCGGTCCCTTACGAGGTGACGAAGCACGTGCCCTACCTCGTGGAGAAGCATGTCCCGTACGAAGTGAAGGTCGGTGTACCACAGCCGTACACTGTGGAAAAGCACGTTCCATATCCCGTGAAGGTGTTCGTGAAGGTGCCTGTACACGTGCCCCAGCCTTACACCGTTGAGAAGAAGGTGCCTTACGAGGTCAAAGTACCAGTGGACAAACCATACGAGGTAAAGGTGTTGGTCCCACAACCGTACACCGTGGAGAAGCACATACCTGTACCGGTTAAGGTGCCTGTACCTCAGCCGTATACTGTAGAGAAGCACGTGCCGTTCCCAGTAAAGGTCAAAGTTCCTGTACCGCAACCGTATCCGGTCGAGAAACCGGTGCCATACGAAGTTAAGGTACCAGTGGACAAACCGTACCCGGTCACCGTGCCTAAACCGTATCCGGTCACCGTCGAGAAACCGTATCCAGTACCGGTCGATAAACCTGTACCATACGAAGTTAAGGTACCTGTGGACAAACCTTATCCCGTGCCAGTAGAGAAACCTTATCCCGTACCTGTCAAAGTACCTGTTCCTCAACCGTACCCTGTACAAAAACCTGTACCGGTCCCGGTCCCAAAACCTGTCCCGTATCCTGTCAAAGTACCTGTGGACAAACCATACATCGTAGAAAAGGAAGTACCTGTACCTGTGGAGAAGGAGGTACCGGTTCCGGTCAAGGTACCTGTACCAGTGCCGATACACGAAGGACATGGGGGCGGAGGTTACGGAGGAGGCGGTTACGAAGGTATTTCTGGGTATGGAGACGGAGGCGGATATCATCATCGTTGATTTCTCCGAGTGATCGAGACGGTTTCTTCGATATGATAAGATTTTTAATATACGCGCTGCTGGATCTCTGGGCAATTGTCTCTTTCTCTCTTTTCGCGAATGTAATGATAACGAAGAAAAACCGTCGATGAAATTTAACGAAGGTTTCAATAATCTTCTTCTTTTTTTTTTTTTAGCTCTTCCTTTTTTTTTATTATCCAAAAAAGGAATAAGGAAATATCGAGATGAAACTCGTTGTCTCACATAATAGCAATAGTATGTTGAAGATACATGATCGCGTGTATCTTCATATGGGGAGAACGAGGTAAAACGTTTCTTGATTTTCTGTAGTTAGTGCTTCTCTTGAGCGTAACGTGTCTTTCAGATTTATGTAATTTAAGAAGCTGTTTGTATAATTGAATGATATTTACGATTTTTTGGTGACAGCGTCAATGTTTGGTCATAATAATTTTGTTAAAATTTGTGCGATTAATCTGCTTTCGATATTGTCTTTGAATTAAAGGGATGGATTTCAAATAGATATGAAAAAATAATTCTTCTTTTTAGATTTCAGCTAATATTTTCTATCATTGAAATATATTCAATAAATTCTTGAAATCCATCTCGTTTATGTGATAATTAATATCACATAAACAATGTGAATATTAATATCTAAACAATATTTTCAACATCCAATAAGATTGCACAATTTTATTTAAAAAATTAAGTAAACTTTTTAAAAGACTAAATAAGACAAAGAGAATGGAGATAAGTATGATCACCATTGATATAAAAATTTTAAATGTACGTGTCGTATTTTTTTCTTTTTTTTTTTTTCTTTCCTTAAGTTGTTCCAAAGAAAACATTAACACCGGCGTTTAAGAGAACTTTACGAACGTAAATTAGCCGATGTAAAATAAACGCCACCGAGAAATTATAATTTCGTACTGGCGAACTACTCTTGTACCTAATTTAAGTTAAGATACTCAAACGAAATGGAGTATCTTTTTATATCAAAGATTTTTAATAAATACTCGTCTATCATTTTACACGATTGAATTTTATTTTCTTCCTCTTTCACGAATTTTTCAATTTCTACGAGTTATGTATGTATTTCTATGAGTTATGTATTTTATTATTATTTAATTATTATTTTTCCATTATTTAAAGATTATATCAATTTTTTATTTTCTAAAAAATTTTAAGAATTATTATCACTTACAAAATTTATGCATTCCTTTCACAATTTTAATATAGATTTTTATATAGATTTTAATGCTATCATTCAATAATATTACGATATCACAGTGAATTAAACGAATATTTAATTATATGATTATATATGATTTAATCAGATACTCTTATTAATTAAGATCAGATACTCTTATTAATTTCTAGTTGAAATTAAAAAAAAAATTTAAAAATTAGGCAATTGTTACGTAAAAAATTTTTTCAAAGAACAAAAATGATAATCTGTTTTTAAAAACAGACAACAATAACAAAAAGAACATTTTTGTAATATTAAAAAAATTTTTACAATATTAGTTTTTAATTTTAGTTAACGATCTTCACAAAAGAAAAGAATTATTTTTATATTGTAATAATATTTCTCAATTTTTTTTCTCCACATAAGATTTTTATACATTTTCTCGAAAAAGAATTAAAAAAAATTTTGTACGAACGCGCTAACGAATCACGCTTTCTCGATTCATGATGATTTTACCGGAAATCTTGTCCTCACGATGAATTTCACTTTTGCAAAATTTCCCTTTTTACATTACCTTCCCATTACGATCAACTAGATAAGTACAGTATAAAAAATCATCAAGAGCAAAGAAGAAAGAATTGTTACATAAACGTCTCTTTCACTCGATAAAAGATCATGGAAAGATGATTCGATTATTTAAAAAAGATTCTTAGATATATTTATTTTTATATTTACGTGAATTTATTGTTTTGTAATAATAATGTAATATATTAATAATATATATAATAATAATATAATAATGTAATAATAATAATATCAAAACAATATCAAAATAGTATTAATATCAATTTCTTAATTTAGAAGCAAATTATATCAATAATATTTTATTCATATATAATATTAATAATATTAATATCATTTTCTCAAAAAATCAATTTTCCTCAAAATTAAAAAAATTCAAAAAATATATTAAAAAATTAAAATAATAATAATATTAATTTAAATTTAAATTAAAAAAAATTTATATTAATATATATTATTTATTTAATATCATTTTCCAAACAATAATCCAATAATTCAATAATCTAAAGAAAAATATATAGATACAGATTAAAAAAAAAATTCTAAAATCATAGTGATATTAATTTAAATTAAGAAAAAAATAATCAGAATAATTTAAATCATAACTTCAATTTTAATTTACAATAATACGAGAATTACAATGTCTTAATAATTTCAGCAATAAATAATCTTGATCGAATTATTTAAACAGTAAAAGCAGTGATGAATTAACTGATTATGGAGTCTCGAGAAATCTTTAATCGCCGGACATGGAAAGATCGAAGAGAAAAGAGGAGGGGAAAAAAAAAGACGAAACATTCAACGTTCGGCCACTTCCGGGCGCACTTTCGATCTCAAGTAAATCTTAATCGTTTCGCGGTGCAATTAAATAAGCTTGTGTATATATTCATGAAAACATTACTTTCTCCTCAGCTGCTACGTCATAGGGACATTCTTCTGGATTCATACACGAATCATACAAGTTTAAAAACGTCGGAATTTCTTCGAATTTGATATGGAATGTAGTCTTCTTTTGCGTAATCCTTGATGAATGAGAATTTTATATATCATTAATATTAAAATATAATAATTCTTCAGTTGGAAAATCAGAATAATTTTAAATTCAATAAATTTGAATTATTTAGTTATTTTTTTTATTTCTATTCACATGTACTTGAAATAATACAAAAAAAAAAAAATTACAGAAACATAAAAAATTAAATACCACAATAAATCAAAAAAATATAGAATATCGAAAAAATTATTAAAGATTTTGCTTTTAATTAAAAAAAAAATAAAATGCTTTAAAAAAAATGCTTTAATGAAAAATACCAAATGATTTCAATATATAAAATTTAATATATAAAATTTATATATAAAATTTTTATGTTAATATTTTATACAGATATATTAACTTCATTAATCATTCAACTTAATCATTTGAAATAAATAAATCTCTGCAAAATTAAATACAAATCATATACATATTTATATTAAAATTAAGAATTTTATAGAAATTGTGACTTTGATTTCTGAATGATTTATGATATTCTAAAAAATTTTTTAAACTTCTTAAACTTTTTTATATTTCTAAAATTTTTTATACTACTTTTATACAGTCAATAAAAATAAATTATCAATTTTTTTGATAATTATGTACGATAAATATAAAAATTACATTCGAAATCAATTTCAAATAGGAATGCTTTTTTGAAGCAGAAATTAAAAAATCAAATAATTATTTTCGAAACTCAATATGTCCATTAACTTCAAATTTCATGGATTTGCTCAACAGAAAAATCTAATAAAGATATAAATGAAATTATCCATTGATCGGGAAAATTTTAATTTTTAATCGAATAAATCGGGAAAAGGAGTCGCGAAAGCATGGATATCTCCGATTTAATTAACGCTCGAACCTAATAAATGAGTTGCACCGGTTCTCGGAATAACTAACTCGACATCAGCGAGTATTTCTTCTTTTCGGTTATGTAAAAAGTTATGTTACACGGAAACTAGAAATTATAAAGAATACATAACTGTATATGAAAGTGTGTAAACGGCCGGTCTTATTAGATAGCGTATGAACGGCTACTTTTGTGAAAGTGAAAAAAATCGCGACGATTCCACCATGCGTAAATTATAGTTGTACAAGTTGGCATCGACTTCTTCCTGCATTGGGATCCCGCGTACTTCCGGTTTTCTATAGGCGGCGCTTCGATAATAGGAGGAAAGTGCCTTCGTCCTTTTTTTTCTTTCCTATCATATTTCTTTTTTTTTTTTCGTTGTTTCTTTCGGAGTTTCACATTTCAATTATTCCAATATAAGAAAGAATTTCTCTAATGCCGAACATTTAAAATTTTCTTTAAATGAATAAAAAAATATAATATTTTATTCCCTTTATTTGTAAGTTAACAATATTAGGAATTAATAATAGGAATAAAATAAGAAAATAATTTTATAATTAAAATTATCGTGACATTATTTTATTATTGTTATATTATTAAATTAAGAAAAATTTGATATAAAATTTTAAAAAGATATAAGTGACATTTAGTATTGGAAAGTATATAGTAAAAGTTGTTAACATAAGTTGGAATAGTTTTAATATAATTTGTAATGATTATAGTCATTAATATAGTCGTTAAAATATTAGAAATATCAAGAACATAAGCTTCGAATGTTCATTTTTGATAATTGAATATTAAATCTTTTTCACTCATTTTCCAAACAGATAGTTAAATATTTCTTTCTCTCTTTCTCAATTTCAATATTCTATTATTTTTAAAACTTATTTCTTTAGTTTTTTTTTTTTTGAATTCTTGTATTATTTTCTTTATTTTCAATCATTAATATAATATAGGAAATTAAAGTAAAAAAAAAATGTTACTTTTCTTAGATCTTTTTATCCTTGTTTCTATTCACATCATTAGCTAACAAGGATAATTTTAGAATATTTTTATTAATAAATATTACTGACGAATATATTTATATTTCTTTTCATAACAAATATTCTATCTTTGTTTATGATAATTAATTCGAGCGTTCTGAAAAACATCGATAAAACTTTAAAACTATCATTAAAGCCAATAATAGAAGTAATTTTAAAAAATGAGTCTCTATGTAATTTGCTAATTTACATTATGTACATTATGCTTTCGTGTTGTAAATATTATGTCATAGAATATAAAAATAGTTAACTATCTAAATTTTCGTTATGTCGTAGTAATGAATATTACGTATATCACATTAAATCATATTCTAAAATTGATAATCTTATCAATATGTCTTCCTACTATTATTTTATATATTACTTTTTCATATAAATTTCATTT